AACAGCCGGTGCTCCTGGTTATTTTGTACAATCTGCATTATTCTACATTGCTATGAGAAGAGGTATGTGCGTGTGTGTGTGTGTGTGTATGGATTGAGATTGTCTTGGCAACGTTTCGGCGAGGTCCCACTCGCCATTACAAAGGCTGCACAAATACCAGTGCAATTAAATACTCCGTTCATATCATGGAGGGCTGCATCAGGGTTGCGTTTGACCTCGGGGGGGTGGGGGTGGGGGGGTGGCCAGCTTGATGTCACTCGTGTTGGGGACGCCTCTGGTTAGCCAAGGCTCCTGAGCTCTGCTTTTGGCTGCGACGGCCTCCTGCAACCCTCTGCCAGTGAAAATGGAGCTCTCAAGGTCCGCATGTAGCCCTCATGAACTCAGTTTTGCTGGCAGAGGCACCATGGGCTGGTCCTTTCCAGAGTGGACCCGTGGGCCAGATCCCCTGGTTTTTTATGAATCCTAATTTCAAGGGGGGGGGAGAGAGATACACTACATCAGAGATGGAGAACCCAACCAAGTAGGCCGGTTCATCCAGTGCTGTGGTACTACACTGGAGACAGATCAACACTGAGTCATTGATATGCAGGAAGAGGCCCAGGAAAGATCTTCCCTAAATCTTCACAGCATTTATATGATAGTAATGCAGAGTGTGCTTTAGTCTGGTAAGATTTCTCTGAAGGAGAACAGCAATAAAGGAACTACTAACATCATGTCATTCTTGGTATCCCCTGCCCCAGTTAGCTATAGTAGTACCATTTCAGATTAACACACTTCATTATTTACCTATTACTATTAATCAATATCATTCAATGATTATAAAATCATTTAATCAAAAGGCACAACGTTTTGTAAACTATGGCTCACTTCATCAGATGCTAACTTTAAAAAAAAAATAACATTTACGAAATCAGGAAAGATGCTATCTGACTCCTCCTGATTTTTGGGTAGTACAGTGAAATAGGTTCAAAATTTAGGCCTTTTGAATCTCATTCACTAATGTTCTGAGGTGTTATTGATTGCCTGCAAAATTAATACCATTTACCTGTAATTGTTCTACAGTTTCCTTATGAGCTCTTTCCATACTGTTCATCTTGGTTCTTAGATTCGACTCTTGGTATTGAAAGTCTGCCTTCAGCTCAGTCAGCTGAGAAAAAGAATTGAATTATATCTTTAAAAATACTGTCCATGGTTATTTCAATGCACTCACTCGCAAACATGCATCTCCTGACTCTACTGGATAAATGTTTAAAGATAAAGAACTCAATTTTCTTCAACTGCTTTAAAGGCCAGAAAAGAGAACATCATGCAGCATTAAGCAATTTATGATGTTGAGTTTATTTGTAAAATTGTATTTTACAATACAGTGAGTTAGAATTTTGGCCATGTTTTCTTAATTATAACCAAAATACCCTGTCATTCAAAATGTTTTAGAAACAAAAAATTGTTTTTTGTTTTTTTNGGGACATACAGCCTTTCTTCGGGCCAGAAGAAAACAGCAATTCTCCATCTTACAATCAGAATGCCAGGAAAAGAATCTGTGTGCAGAAACTGCCAGAAGACCCTGGCAGCTGCCCCTTAGCTACCAGATGCAGAAGCTGGGCAGTCAGCTACTGTCAAGAGAATGAAATGAAATTCCATCCCTCCCTTTGATGATACCTACTCTCCTCTATTTCTACCAACTTCATCTTGCGATCCAACGGGTCAGATATCAAACTTCCTGGCCAGGGTCATGAGCTGTAGATGCGGGCACCGCAGGCTCCCATCCAAACGCTAACAAAGCGAGGCTCTGTCTTCGGGCGAGGATCTGTCCTTTTGTAGCTGTGCAGATGCCCAAGCCACCCAGTGGCCAAATGCCCACTTCACATGCCTTTGACCTTCTCCCTTTAGCTTCGGAAGGGTTAAGCCCAGCAGCCTGGAATCCTCTCCTAGCTTGTTTCAGCCTCCAATAAATCAGGCTGCTTGTTGGGTTTCTGGGAAGCAGTCCCCTGTCCCCGTGGGAGAGGAGTCACGTGATCTCCGCTGCCGCTGCCGCTGCTGCGTGGGGCCTCTCCCCTTGTGGTCTTTCTGCAAAGTCTTGGCGGAGGTGGGGGGGGGGAGAGGAGTATAACTATCTCCCTAGTGTCTGCCAAGAATGCAGAGTTGCCAAGAATGTTTAGAGGGACAAGGAAAATTAGCCACGGACCTGGAATTTCTATCTCGCCATCAAGCATATGTATCTGTAGATGTATGCACGCAGGCTTCACTTTGGCCATGATTCCTGCTGTAAATTTAGAAAGCCCAGGAAGACCTGGTCATAAACTACACCCAACGATGGTAAAATGAGGCCGGGCCAATTGTAATTGCACCCTGTTGTGGAGAAAGCCCAGCGACTGTCTTAGTTACGTGGTGTGATTCATGCCGTCACGTTGAGCCACCATTTTGTTCTCCTGTTTGGGAATTGCATTGGGAAGCACAGAATGTGTCTCGATAACCTGCATTTAGCTTTAAGGTGTTGTATGAGCAAGCCATTCTGTCACCATGGGCAAGTAATTTTGGGGGTACTCCAGAATGAGGTTGATTTATTTTTAATTCATCAAATTCATATGCCGCGGAGCTCTCCTAAAAGCAGACTTTGAACTATTCTGAACTATTTCTGAAAAAAGAAAGGCAAACAGGGACTGATGCCCAAGATCAAAACGATGTGCTAGACCAGTGTTTCCCAACCTTGGCAACTTGAAGATGTCTGGACTTCAACTCCCAGAATTCCCCAGCCAGCATTCGCTGGCTGGGGAATTCTGGGAGTTGAAGTCCAGACATCT